CTTTTCTCTCTTATCAATTCCTTCTGCGATGTCTAACCCTGCCTTCCAGCCCTCTCTTATCTCTTTTCTCATTGTATCTTCTGCCTTTATTGCCTCTAGGAGATTCATTACCACCCGCCTTGCTTCAAAAGCAATTGTACTGTCATACTTCTGAATTTTTGTCATAGTTGCATAATCTCTTGGATATACCAAGATAGAAACAATTTGGAACAGACAGAAAACCATCAGGCATCAAACTATACTCTCGGAAATGGACTATGTCACAATGTCTACTTAAATCACTAACACGTGTAAACACATTAATTTTCCTGCACCAAGGGCATCGAACTGATAGTCTCCGGTGTGTGGCGGAAGACATATGATGGAATAATTATTTCTTTTGTTTGAATGTCTTCGTGCATAGACTGCATTGTAAACAGTCACTGCCACTGTGTTCATCACTCATTGTCTGTAATAAAATAAAATGAAATAGTGTTGTTGTTGTTATTATTTTTCATTGTTATCACTCATTTTAAATTGTTAATCAAATGTATGTGTTTCTGTAAGTTTGAAGATTTTAAATAGCTGGACTATTGTTTATTTATTTATTTAATTTTTATATTGTTTCTTGTTACTTTATACTTTATATATTTATTTTATTGTGAATGCTCTCTTTACAAACATCACTTAATTTTACAATATCTGTGAGATAAATTTCATAAATATGTCTTTCAAAACAAGATTATAGTAGTTTTTTTTTTAACAATTTGTTTTAAATTGCAACTGTTACATTCGAGCTTTTTCGCGCGTAATCCATAATGGAACATTTACTCCGGAGTAAGGCCAAAGTCTATCGATGTGGTATGCTTTCGGTTTCATTAATTTTGAGCGCTTAACGAGGCAGACAATGTCATCTAATACTTTTGTGATTAAGTAAGGACCTTTCCATTTATTTATCAGCTTAGAGCACACACCTTTGTGTCTTGTAGGATCATGCAGCCAAACACATTGACCGGCATAATAATTTCGTTGTCTTGCATTAGTATCGTAATGTCGTTTTTGATATTCGAAACTTTTCCCGATATTTTTTCGAGCGAAGTCATGAATGCATTCTAGATTTGTTCGTAACTCATTAACATAGTCATCAACAGTTTCTGTTTTATTTCTTTCAGTGATTGGTCGACCTATTGCAGCCGCCATAGGGAGAGTAACATTTCGCCCATAAACCATTTTATTTGGAGATATTTTGGTACTTGAGTGACTTGAACTCCGATACGCCATCATTAATATGGGTAGCAGTTTGTCCCAATGCTTTTGAGATTCTTGACAATATTTAGACATCATAGACACCAATGTCCGATTAAATCGTTCCACGACCCCATTGGCTTGTGCTCGCATACTAGTAGCATGTGTTTTTTCGATAGTTAATAATTCACAAATTTCACTAAGAAGTTTTGATTCAAAATTGGAACCTTGATCCGTGTAAAGCTGTAAAGGTACACCAAAACGACTCACAAAATTATCAATGAATGCATTTGCAATTGTTTTTGCTTCCTGGTTTGGCAATGGAATAGCTTCGGTCCATTTAGTAAACCAGTCTGTAATAACTAAGATGTATTTATTGCCACTTTCTGTTGTAGGCATAGGACCTAATATGTCCATCATTACACGTTCCATTGGCTCGCCAACTGCATATTTACCTAATGGTGCTTTATTTTGTGATTTTGAAAGGTTACGGGCAGTGCAAAGGTCACATTTATTGCAATAGTCTTTAATGTATTCAGTCATGCCAGGCCAATAAAATGTTTGTTTTATTTTGTCGTTAGTTTTGTTAAAGCCTAAATGTCCAGCTGTTGGTGCGTCATGGTAAGCACGAAGTACTGTTGAACGTTTAAATTCGAGTACAACTAACTGCCAAATGTGTGGCTTGGTATCGGTGTCAAACCTACGATATAATATTCCACCTTTCACAGACAGTCTGTCCCATTGTCGCCATAATGTTTTCAATTTGGCCTTACCAGCAGAAACTCCTGACCACCGAGGACGATCTAAATTATCTAACTTAGCAGCAAGTATTGGCGAGATAGACGAGTCATTCAACTGAGCAGTTTGTATGTCGACTAGAGACCACCCATCTAATAATATATGATTTTGAGTAAGATCCTTATTTTGAGCTTCTGCTTGATCAGCCCTTGTGTCGCTGCTGACTTTGGTTTTACAATCTGCTTCACCATTTTTGTTTTCAAGTTCTTTGTCAGGCACATTGTCGTTAACATTAAGGGAACTATATGAAGTTGTTTGGGATGGTCTTGATTTTCATTGATAAGCTTGTGCCAGACTCTGTGTTGACGCACTCGTTATTCTCCATTTAAGTTTCTGCTGTCGCGAACATGTGCTACATAGCTTTCCTTGATAAAGCGTCTGCGGTTACCAATGCTACGACCAGGCCTGTGCAATAACGTTCATATATATGTACTCAACTCTTGTAGCCCAGCGAGCTGTTTGACCAGTTTGGTTGCCTTCAAGGTTACGCATCCAGCTTACAGTTGAATTATCTGCGAGTAGAAAACGAGCGACCATATAAATAGTGGGTGGAAAAAGTGCTTGTAGAGACTCTTACTACAGCCAAAAGTTCTTTTTGGTAATACAATAAAGTCTTTCATGTTTGTTCATGGTCTTGCTCATGTATGCTATCACATGTCTTGCCTCCTATTTACCTTGCGACAAGACATCCCATGTAGCATGGTCACTAGAGTCCGTATCTAGGATGAAGTCGCAACCTGGCTGTGGGTATGCCAGAACTGGAGCAGTGATGAGAGATTCTTTAAGTTTGTAAAATGCCACTTGACAGTTTTCTGTCCACGAAAATCTTGTGTGCTTTTCACATAACTTGTGTGATGGTCTTGCTATGTCAGCATAACCATTTATAAATTTTCTATAGTAACATGTGAGACACATGAAGCTTCTTACTTGCTTCTGAGTATGTGGAATTGGCCAATCTTTAACTGCACTTATTTTGCTCTCATCAGTTTGGATGCCATCTTCAGATACCACATGACCTAGGAAGGTGATTGACTTCTGGAAAAAGAGGCACTTTGATGCTTTCAATTTTAAATTGTAGTGTTGGTGACGTTGGAACACATTCTCCGGCCTTTCTAAGGATTCCTGTACAGTCTTTCCTGGTGTGATGATGTCATCCATATAAAGTAAAGACTGTTTCCATTGTAGTCCCTGAGTACATTTTCCATTAACCTCTGAAAAATTGCCGGACTGTTAACGAGTCCGAACGGCATGACTTTGAAGTGGTACAAGCCGTTAGATGATGTTGAGAAGGCTGTCTTATGTTTGTCACTTTCATCCATCTTTCACTTGCCAAAATCAACTACAAAGGTCCATACTGCTAAACCATTTGTTTCCAGCCAGTGTGCCTCCAAACAATCGTCAACGCGAGGAATGGGGTAGGCATCCACCTTTGTAACTGAATTTAATTTCCTGTAGTCGACACAAAATCTGGTTGACCCATCTTTCTTCGTTATGAGCACAATTGGCGAAGACCATTCACCGGCAGATGGCTCAATTACACCCTTTTGAAGCATGCGTTCTAACCTCTATTTTTTTATTTTCTCGTTTACCTAATGGTTGGCGCCTTGGAGCTTGTTTGATTGGCTATGCGTTACCAGTATTTATTTTATGCTTAACTTTATCAGTGCATCCCAACTCTTCGATTGATGTAACAAATATATTCTCATTTTTATTTAACACGCCTGCAAATTTTTGCTTTTCTTCGATAGTCAAATGAATTGAACTCTTTTTAAATGTTTCTTTTAGATGGTTTGGTACACTTAAAGGGTCATGACTGGCTTTTACATTTGCTGAAATGTTTGCACATTTAAATAGCTCGCTTTCCTGCTCTTCATATGATGATTTACAAAGTCCAAAACTTTCTCCTGGTTGAAGAAGAAGACTTTCTTTACTATTGTTGATAATACCTACTCCTACATTTGAACTATGCGGATCAATAAATCCTTCTATAACTTGTACATTTTGATCTTTCATAGTTTTGATATTCTCTATATAACCATTTGCCGGAAGTTGTTCACTTTCAGGAATCGTTACATTTACATATGCATATGATTGCGAAGGAATTTCAGTGAGCTCACCCACGGTTACTCTACAAACGCGATTAGCTTCATGACCCTCATAACACTGAACACGCTTGCCTGACCTTAATACCAATTGAAGATCATCAAAATCTAACCGCTTTGCATGCTTAAGGATAAAATCTTGGCCTATAATACCATCTGTGGTAATGTCACACACTATAACAGGATGATTAATTTCTTCTTGACCTTACTTTATTTGAAATTGCTCTCTTCCATATATTTTTATATTAGAACCATCAGCACCTTGAACACTTATATTTCTATTTCTAACTGAAAGAGATTCAATGCCTAATTGATCAAATGTATGCTTTGAAATAAGTGTAGCTGTACTACCACTATCTAAAAGAAAATTGAATGGTTTTCCATTCATGTAACCTTTAACATAAAGACCATTATCAATACTTGCATTTCCTGTACCCACACGACTATACCTATTGATGCTACTAAATAGCTTTTCTTTTGAACAACTTGTACCCATATAATTGACTGATTGACATTCTTTATTAAAAACTTCTTTTTCACTCATTTCAGGACACGTCACAACATATTCATATTCCTCTGAAACAGGTCTTTTTCCTTCAATGTTCGCCTGCTCTCGACCTTCAGAGTAGACCGTGACCCGTTTCCCGAACTTTCATTACCATTTGATGAAGCTCCATGACTGCTGTTATCACTGTACCTTCGTGGACAATCACGCGCGAGGTGCTCCAGAGAACGACATATATAACATCTACGAGGACCATTATTTCCACTTAGGGATCCCTTTTCAATACGATCTAGCCTTATCTGTATCGATCGCAGAGCCCGCTGCACACCATCCTCAGATCTTTCATTTTTGGCTGCCATCTAACTTTTCGCTCATAATGCCGCCGGTTCAAGGTTACTATAAGCTTTTCGTGCCAACAACCTCAGATCATCGCCAAAAGCTGCGATAGATTCTCTTACCAACGTAAGTCTTGTCTGGAATTTTGAGACATACCTGGTCTGTTGTCTGGCAGCACCAAACCTCTGTTCTAAAGCATGTGCAAGATCATCGAAAGAATGCTTATCATGTCCTATAAGGGTTGTATAGAAAGCTCGTGCTTGACCTCGTAAACAAGCTGCCAATGTGAGCAACTTCTCTTGTGTTGTCCACTTGCCAAGTTCTGCACAGTCTTGAAAGTGTGAAAAGTATTGTTCCCAATCTGCATTAACACTGTAATTATCTGGTTTAATAATAATAGCTGGTCTCTTGTTATCGACAGCAGTTGTTTATATTTTGACATCTGATTTCTCTGTCCTGGTCACGAAACCTTGTAGGGGAGACTCCTTCTTCCCTTATATCTCCTTGACCCATGTTAAACTCAACTTCAGAATCAGAGTCACCCATATTTTCAATAGTACGTTTCCAATATTTAAAGCGGACGTTGTTTTACCTGCCAGCAGGGGGTTCTGGTATGACATTTGATCTTTTGTTGTTGTTTTCCACTAAGACTTTGTAAAGTTCAGATGGTATAATCACTTCAATAACTTCTCGATATACTGGTGATAGACTTTTCTTTAATTCCTCATGAATGTTACATGTCTTTTTATAGGCAAGAGTTCTGGATATCCTGTAGAATGATATTTTCACTTCTGACACCACGTGTAATACTCGTTGTATAGGACGAGGTGGTGTGTAGTCTTCGGTATTATGATTAAATAGGTATATTCTTGAATGGCCTGTACGCAGATTTATACTAAGAATGGAATTAAGAAAAGACTTCACCCTGTTGTTATTTATCTGCTTAATCCAGCTCAATCTCGGTATGTCCAATTTAGTGGTGTTATACCTTTTACTGACTATTTTATAACAACAGCATTTAAAACATTTGTATATTTATTAAACAATAACTGTAATAAAAAATTATATTTGAACACAACAAACAGGATTCTCTTTATTGTTCTTAGTAATAATATATAAGTGATGTTAACTGTCTTTTCGCGGAAATGGTGCCTTTTCGTTTAATATATAGAGGATACCATAGAAGAATGGTTACGGATGCGCGGTTACGAATATGTTTAAAGTAAAATCAAGAGAAAAAGTTACGCCGTAACTAGAATGTAACAGTTGCGCACACGAAGATACACAGTAACTATATAATGACTTAGTTCACCTTGGTTACGGGATGGTAATTAGTTACGGACAATTTACAAAGTTTTCCTAGTGGACCAAATGTTTTCTTGACATTGGTTACGCTTATTCGAACCAGAACCGCCAAATGAAGTTTTTCGCCTCTATTTATAGACTTGTTGTCGCGTATGAATTCCGTACCGTAACTAGAAAGCAGTCTATGAATTCTATTGGTCGAGCTCTCCTGGAATTGGTTGCGGAATGCGTTATTTGCCTGGAATTCATACACTTCAAAACTACAGTTCCGTAACCAACTTGCGTAACTCATATTAAAAGTCATTTTACATTAGTCAATACTTTTGCAAGTAAACTAATTATTAATTCAGTATTTGCAATAAATTATCTGTCAAAAATGTCTTTCTGTTATTTAAAAATCTTTACCGTATAATAACTAGCGTTTGGGCACTATTTTTGTACACAAACATTTGCAGACATCGTGACATATATAATTTATTATAAATTATGTAATATAGATATGCGTCTACAAAAAGTGATAACAGTGACGGAATGCCATGATGCTTTCCTGTTTTCCTAAACCTAAAACATGTAAACAAATAACAAGAAAAGACATACATGTATACAGTACAGGTCTATCAATATTTAGGGTATTGTATTCTACTTATTTCAAAAGATTATTTACCATTTTATTAGAAACAACATTTTACAAAACAATTACATTTTAACCATATAAAAACCTAGGAAGATAGAACATTCCTAACCTGAAAACAGTATTATATTATCATAGATTATTTATTATATGTAATATAGTTAAATGTTTACACAAAGTCAGAATAGTGACGGATGCAATGATGCATTACCGTACCAGAAAATATCACTTTGCATAAACACTTATAAACGGTTAGTACATGTTACTATAGGAATATGATTTAAGGATTGAAGATTCAAAACAACAACCAATATTTATTCATATTTTATTTTTTAATGATTACTACCGTATGACATACTCCCCCCCCCCCCCCCCCCCCCCCTGCTAGTAAAAAGGTCGTCCCGACAATTCTACCTAATCCTTACAAAAATGAAACAAGTAGAATAGACAACACAAAATCATACAACAAAAGTCACAAAATTTTATACATGACATAATAAACAAACAGACAATCACAAAAACAATTCAACATCGCGAAACGTTTATAAAAAAAACAATAAAAAAACAAAACACAGAAAAGAAACTGATGGTTTAAATACATTGATATGTGTTAACCCAAAGATTCATTGAGGCCTAAATGCCCATTGAGCCGCGTAAATGATTTTAATTCTATATCGCAAAAGCTCTTTAAATATTATTGTCCTGTAATATGCTGGTGCATGAAATTCTTTGTTTGACATTTGACTGTATTGTCATTGAAAGAAATACATCTTTTAAATAAATATAATAACTGCAAAATCACTATTTTCGTCTAACACTCAATTTTAATAGAAAAATCAATCGAAAAAATTATTATGAAACGAAAGATGAAAGATTTTTTGGCGTTATGTAATCATTAGTTTTTTACTATTTAGCATAAATAGATATATTACAAATTTAAGAACTAACATAAATGTTTTTTGTGTCAAAACCACGAATTCAATGCCAACGAAATTTACCACATTCACAGAATGTTTTTCAAATTCAAAAGGTGTTCATGGCCAGTCTGTCAATGTGTGTTGTATACATTGTAATCGTCGTTGCTAAATTACTTCTAAAACACATGACTATGAAAGCCGTCGTTTTTATAACAAGGCAAAGAATTATTCTTTACAAGTTCTATTTTGCTTTTATTTGAACATAATTTTCTTGCACAATTTTCGAAAAGTTATCTTTGAAGAGACGTTCGGACGATACCATACCGTCATACGAACTGGGCCCAAAAAAATGCATAGATATAGTACATGTATATGCTCATCTTTGAGTAAAATATTCTTATCACATAATTTTATTGAAATCTATGAAATTCTAAATGAATTTGTCTTATATGAATAAAACAAAAAGTAAACTATACATGTATATTGGAAGCTGCGTTCCCTATTTCACAATAAGTTGGTCTTTTCTTACAAAGAACTGCCAGTTTTTTAATGACATTCCTATAACAGTGTTGAATTGAAACATATCTACTTTGTGAAATGTCAAAACATGTTTATTTTATAAATATTTTATATTTAGGGAGATAGTGCAGCAATGATCAATGTTTTCTAATGTTGAAATTGAGCATAGTATATCCTTAACCAATTGAATGTTATTTCAATGTAATCGCTGTGTACATTATTTGGTTTCTTTATATATTTTCATAGCATTCATCAATGTAAATTACTAAACTTTAATGCAAATAAAAGACCAATTTATAATGTAAGCTCTCCAATTCTTATATGTCGAGATTTCATTAGATAAGTAGATAAAACTTATTCATTCATGATGGAAAAGACCTTCAATTTGATCAATGCACATATTTATTGGTTGCTCTGTATTTTATAGTTTTTAGAGTTTTAGTATTTACAAAATCTGGGAAAAGACGTTTACGTGTACTTACTTAACTTTAAATACATACATTCAAATAGAAATATTGAATGATTGCGAACGATTTGAATGGTAGTTGTTGTTCTATTCGTGAAGAAGTTTGTTGTATCTGTCGGCAAAGTACTTGTTGTCGTATTCTTGAGCGACTTATATCAGAATGAAAAACTAATAATACAGTGAATGGGTTTTGTGGCTGTCTATAGCCGATTAGTATTTGGATAAAGAATAATGATCTATTATAGTGTGTTTATAGTCGAAACTTCATTTATAAAGTGTATGATGAAGGTCAGTCAAGATAAAATGAAAACACATATTTTAAAGTTTTGCTTTGTTTATTTGTCAAATTTAATTAAATTTTCAAACACAAATTAAAAGCAAGACAAAATAATAGATGAAACAAATATTTCAATCAAAAGTTTTAATGTTTATAAAAAAGTTTATTAAGTTACATAACACTAATTTAACAATAATGGGCATTCAAATGTTTCAATTTCAATACCAGTGTATGATTCTGTAACAATTATACATCAAAAGATATGTATGAAGTGTACATAAAATTTAAGGTTTGTGAAACATTTTTCATATTTAATATGGTTTACATTAACACAGATATACATACACTATTACAACTCCATGACATTAAGTTGTGTTTTTTTAATAAATTATAAAGACAACACTTATAGTCACATAATCTGAATGTCATATCATTATGTTAGATACAACAAAAATTCAGATTTAGTGTGTACGTTCGTGCGCTCGCGTGTGTGTCTATTTTTATCGAAAGGATAAGATGTTAAAATCATTTTAGTATATATAGGTTCAAATATTTTGTGTGCTACTAGATTCTCTTACAGAGAGAAAATCGGAACTTGTGGACGACAGGGTACTGTGTTTGGAAGATTTAAGTCTAGAACTCGAATCTTGTTGATCATTGCCCTGTGGAATATTATCATCTCCAACAAATGTTTCTCTTACATTTTTACGTAGTTTTTGTTTACGTAAATAGAGCCGCCCTCTTCGGAGTTGAGGGGTACTGCTAGTGGATGTTTAATTGTGTGCAACTTGTTCTTTAAGTTCATATACTTCTTTATCTTCGTTCTCATTGTTTCCTGCATTCGTTTCCTGAAGATATAAAAGTATATTGAAATATAATTCGACATGATGAAAATGGATAAAAATGTTATTTTATCAAAACAATATTAATTTTCTAATATTTTCTAATACATGGCTTATAACATTGAAATAAATAAAATATGTGTATGATATTTAGATAAAAAGATAAATATGTCATTGCCTTAATTACTTACATATGAGTTTCTTTGATGTCGGCGCCAAAGACATAAACAACAACATATTCCCCAACATGCAACGATGGCAATTACAAAACAACCAAGAACAAGAATCACAGTAATCCATTCTATAAAAACTGGAAAAGAACAATTAAAATATAATATTTTTAATACAACCAAAATGTCAAGCATAGCGGTCAAATTTCTGTGTAAACATTAAAAAGATTCTAATAATTTGAAATTAAGCATACATACGAAGTTTGACTTATCTTATATTATTGCTTATTCCCTGAAATTGCCAATGCAATTAAGCTCTTGATCAAACTTAGCAGAGTTATAAATTGTATCTTTCTTTTAAAACTTCATAATCAGAATAGTTTAGTTTTAAAACATATTCAAACATTTATTTTCTATTTTAAATATTAAATTCTAACACTATCGGAAGTTTTTCTATATAATTAAAAAAGGCCCGAAGCGTGCATTATTCTGCAACAATGCACTCGCCGTTCTTATTATCTCCCTGTGTATTTTCACAATGAGGGTGCCATTTTGTTTAAAAAATCTGATAAATAAAAAACATTTTTTGTCGAATTTTGTTTTGGAAACTATCAAGAATGAAAGAAAATGGTCTAACTAAGAAAATTAATCCGAACACCAATATCTTTAAATCAGTCGTTAACGCTGTACAGAAGTTTAAAGTGTTGTTTACATGACGTCACAACAGCACTTGCAAAACAATCAAATCAAGTACGCTATTTAATGTCACAAACAAGCTAAGCTTTACATTTATTTCACTTTTAATAGCATGTATTTCGCTTGAAAAATAGTATAATGAAATAAAATAAGCAAACAAAAATTAATCAACGTTTTCAAAATTCATTATTCTCAAAATGTTCCTACACACGGTAGATTTAACGACAGATTTTTTCCAACCCACTGGAACAGCCTTTAAAGAACGTTTCTGTTGGAAACTCTTAGGCGAAAACAAATTTAACCACCAAACATAAAGTCCAACTTTATAATGATAATACTATTTTTTCTTGACGTGTTAGAATGGAAAAAGATTGTATAATAATGCACGTTTATCGGCCTTCGAGATTGTATTACTACGCATTTGAACTCAAACCGTGCATTATTCTACAACAATGCACTCAGAATTGAATCTATTTCCTAAACATACAGGACATAACTAAATATAAATGATTAAATCAAATGAACGAAAATCATATGCGGAACTTTAATCTAAAATGTTAGAATAAAAAAAATAAACCTCCTTTGTCTTTTGTACTGTCTGTTACTTCATTTCTTGTTGTGTTTGTTGTTGCAGTGGGAAAAGTAGTTGTTGTTTTTTTCGTTAAGATGTTTGTTGTATCTGTCGGCATAGTAGTTGTTGTTTTATTCGTTAAGATGTTTGTTGTATCTGTCGGCATAGTAGTTGTTGTTTTATTCGTTAAGATGTTTGTTGTATCTGTCGGCATAGTAGTTGTTGTTTTATTCGTTAAGATGTTTGTTGTATCTGTCGGCATAGTAGTTGTTGTTTTATTCGTTAAGAAGTTTGTTGTATCTGTCGGCATAGTAGTTGTTGTTTTATTCGTTAAGATGTTTGTTGTATCTGTCGGCATAGTAGTTGTTGTTCCCTTCGTTAAGATGTTTGTTGTATCTGTCGGCATAGTAGTTGTTGTTTTATTCGTTAAGATGTTTGTTGTATCTGTCGGCATAGTAGTTGTTGTTTTATTCGTTAAGATGTTTGTTGTGTCTGTCGGCATAGTTGCTGTTGTTTTATTCCTTAAGAAGTTTGTTGTAACTGTCGGCATAGTAGTTGTTGTTTTATTCGGTAAGAAGTTTGTTGTATCTGTCGACATAGTAGTTGTTGTTTTATTAGTTAAGAAGTATGTTGTTTTTGTCAGCATTGAAGTTGTTGTTTTATTCGTTAAGAAGTTTGTTGTAACTGTCGGCACAGTAGTTGGTGTTTTATAAGTTAAGAAGTATGTTGTTTTTGTCGGCATTGAAGTTGTTGTTTTATTAGTTAAGACGTTTGTTGTAACTGTCGGCATAGTAGTTGTTGTTTTATGCGTTAAAAAGTGTGTTGCATCTGTCGGCATAGTAGTTGTTGTTTTATTCGTTAAGAAGTTCGTTGTATCTGTCGGCATAGTAGTTGTTGTTTTATTCGTTAAGAAAATTGTTGTATCTGTTGGCACAGTAGTTGTTGTTTCCTTCGTTAAGAAGTTTGTTGTATATGTCGGCATAGTAGTTGTTGATTTATTTGTTAAGATGTCTGTTGTATCTGTCGGCACAGTAGTTGTTGTTTTATTTGTTAAGAAGTGTGTTGTATCTGTCGACAATGTAGTTGTTGTCTTATTCGTTAAGAAGTGTGTTGCATCTGTCGACATAGTAGTTGTTGTTTTATTTGTTAAGAAGTGTGTTGTATCTGTCGACAAAATAGTTGTTGTCTTATTCGTTAAGAAGTGTGTTGCATCTGTCGACATAGTAGTTGTTGTTTCATTCGGTAAGATGTTTGTGGTATCTGTCGACATAGTTGCTGTTGTTTCACTCGTTAAAATGTTTGTTGTATCTGTCGGCATAGTAGTTGTTGTTTTATTCGTTAAGATGTTTGTTGTATCTGTCGACATAGTTGCTGTTGTTTCATTCGTTAAAATGTTTGTTGTATCTGTCGGCATAGTAGTTGTTGTTTTATTCGTTAAGATGTTTGTTGTATCTGTCGACATAGTTGCTGTTGTTTCACTCGTTAAAATGTTTGTTGTATCTGTCGGCATAGTAGTAGTTGGTTTGTTCGTTAAGAAGTTTGTTGTTTCTGTCAGCATAGTAGTTGTTGTTTTATTCGCTAAGATGTTTGTTGTATCTGTCGTCACAGTAGTTGTTGTTTTATTCGTTAAGAAAATTGTTGTATCTGTCGGCACATTAGTTGTTGTTTCCTTCTTTAAGAAGTTTGTTGTATCTGTCGTCAAAGTTGTTGTTGTTTTATTCGTTAAGAAAATTGTTGTATCTGTCGGCAAAGTGGTTTTTGTTCCCTTCGGTAAGATGTTTGTTGTATCTGTCGGCACAGTAGTTGTTGTTTTATTCGGTAAGAAGTTTGTGGTATCTGTCGTCACAGTAGTTGTTGTTTTATTCGTTAAGAAAATTGTTGTATCTGTCGACATAATAGTTGTTGATTTATTCGTTAAGATGTTTGATGTATCTGTCGACAAAATAGTTGTTGATTTATTCGTTAAGAAGTTTGTTGTTTCTGTCGTCATAGTAGCTGTTGTTTTATTCGTTAAGAAGTTTGTTGTATCTGTCGACATAGTAGTAGTTGTTTCATTCGGTAAGATGTTTGTGGTATCTGTCGACATAGTTGCTGTTGTTTCACTCGTTAAAATGTTTGTTGTATCTGTCGGCATAGTAGTTGTTGTTTTATTCGTTAAGAAGTTTGTTGTATCTGTCGACATAGTTGCTGTTGTTTCACTCGTTAAAATGTTTGTTGTATCTGTCGGCATAGTAGTAGTTGTTTTATTCGTTAAGATGTTTGTTGTATCTGTTGGCATGGTAGTTGTTGTTTTATTCGTTAAGAAGCTTGTTGTAGCTGTCGGCATAGTAGTTGTTGTTTTATTCGTTAAGAAGTTTGTTGTATCTGTCGGCATAGTAGTTGTTGTTTTATTCGGTAAGAAGTTTGTTGTATCTGTCGGCATAGAAGTTGTTGTTTTATTAGTTAAGAAGTTTGTTGTTTTTGTCAGCATTGAAGTTGTTGTTTTATTCGTTAAGAAGTTTGTTGTAACTGTCGGCACAGTAGTTGGTGTTTTATAAGTTAAGAAGTATGTTGTAACTGTCGGCACAGTAGTTGTTGTTTTATTCGTTAAGATGTTTGTTGTATCTGTCGGCATAGTTGCTGTTGTTTCATTCGTTAAGATGTTTGTTTTATCTGTCGGCACAGTAGATGTTGTTTTATTAGTTAAGAAGTATGTTGTTTTTGTCGGCATAGTTGCTGTTGTTTCATTCGTTAAGATGTTTGTTTTATCTGTCGGCACAGTAGATGTTGTTTTATTCGTTAAGAAGTTTGTTGTAACTGTCGGCACAGTAGTTGTTGTTTTATTCGTTAAGATGTTTGTTGTATCTGTCGGCATAGTTGCTGTTGTTTCATTCGTTAAGATGTTTGTTGTATCTGTCGGCATAGTAGTTGTTGTTTTATTCGTTAAGAAGTTTGTTGTATCTGTCGGCACAGTAGTTGTTGTTTTATTCGTTAAGATGTTTGTTGTATCTGTCGGCATAGAAGTTGTTGTTTTATTCGTTAAAAATGTTTGTGTTATCTGTTGACATACTAGTTGTTGTTTTAGTAGTTAAGAAGTTTGTTGCATCTGCCGGCATAGTTGTTTTTGTTTTATTTGTAAAGATGTTTGTTGTATCTGTCGGCGAAGTAGTTGATGTTTTATTTGACAGGAAGTTTGTTGTTTCTGTTGTCACGGTAGTTGTTGTTTCATTCGTTAAGATGTTTGTTGTATCTGTCTGCAAGGTAGTTGATGTTTTATTCGTCCGGAAGTTTGTTGTTTCTGTTGTCACGTTAGTTGTTGTTTCATTCGTTAAGATGTTTGTTGTTTCTGGCGGCATTGTAGTTGTTGTTTTATTCGTTAAGTTGTTTGTTGTATATATCGGCATAAAAGTTGTTCTTTCATTCGTTAAGAATTTTGTTGTATTTGTCGGCATGGTAGTTGTTGTTTTATTCGGTAAGAAGTTTGTTGTTTCTGTCGGCATAGTAGCTGTTGTAGCATTCGTTAAGATGTTTGTTGTTTCTGTTGTCACAGTAGTTGTTGTTCCCTTCGTTAAGATGTGTGTTGTTTCTGTCGTCATAGTAGCTTGTGTTTCACTCGGTAAAAAGTTTGTTGTTTCTGTCGTTTTAGTAGCTGTAGTACCATTCTTTAAGATGTTGGTTAATTCTGTCGACATAGTAGCTGTTGTTTCATTTGTTGATATGTTTGTTCTTTGTGTCGACAAAGATGCTGTTGTTTCATCCGTTAAGATGTTTATTGTTCCTGCCAACTGATTAGCTGTAGTTATATTTCTGTTGAAATCTGTTGGTTCTGTAGACACATCGCGTGTTGTTCCATTCGTATTTACTGCAGCTGTCTCTGTCGACTGTGTAGTAGTTTCGTTTGATTTCATATGGCTTGATTCTGTCAGTTCAGTAGATGGAATTCCAGTTGTTTTTAATACTGTTGTTTCCTTTGGCTGAATATGTGTGGTTTTGTTTGTTTTTAATAAAGGTGTTGCTATTGTTTTAGTAGCTGTAAGTGTATGCGTTTTTGATACAGTTGTCTGTGTCGGGTGAGTTACTGTTGCTTCGTTTGTGTTAAATACTCTTGCCGTTGTTCCATTTATAATGCTAGTTGTTGCTTTTGTTGGCTGGACATCTGTACTCCCACTTGCTATCGCTTTTGTAACTGATACTTGGTCTTCTGTTGATCGCATAAAAGTCGAATCGTTCTTCATTATTCCTGTTGATTTCAAAGATTTTGTAACACTAGCGTTTGACAATATTATGTCAGGTTGTATTGTTGCTGAACTGTGAAATGTTCTTGCTAGATTCAGTATACGGTTTTCTTGTTGTTAAATCTGTTGAAATGTCCCCTTTTACCATATAATCCGTCGAGGTAAGATGGTTGTCTGAAGAAACAGACGTCGGTGCCAATTTGACTAAATCTATAATAAAAAAAAAATGATTAAGATGCAAAGATATGTTTCTTTTGTTCATTTTTATATATGTTCAGGATTTTTCAGTAAATAAAAACATTATGGAGAAAGTCAATTGAATTCTTTTAGTATAACAAGTTATAATTTTGACTTGTGAAAACGATTTGACATAGAAATTTATGTCATAATCTTATAAGATGATTCATTATTGTCATATTCCTTGAAATTATTTAGAAATTTTCAATTCCATAGTAGGAAATTTCCTCTCCTTTTTTACAATTTTTTAATGCAATTTTACATGTTTATAAACTAGTTTGGTTTATATGAATAAAAGTTATGTTTTTTTATTTCGATGGATTGTATTGCCAGATTCCATTGTGTAGTTGGTTTTACAGCCATGGGTCTACGGACCAAATGCGAATACGGCTTTAATCAATCGATGAGGTGGTGCAATCCATGCGAAATAAATTAAATACTCATTTCATTTTTCCCCATTGTATGTCTTCTCTACTATGCATAAACAAATTTGAAAAAAGAATGATAATAAATCTGAATAGTCGGATGAATATAACGACAAAAACCAAACTCCTTACACTGATAACCTCCCTTGGCAGAATTGTAATCACTGCCTTCACAGACGCCACATGATGATAAAAGTCACATGACGTAACGTCGAAATTCAAATGAGCCGTGTCACGACAAAACCAACATAATGGGTTTGCGACCAGCATGGATCCAGACCAGCCTGCGCATCCGCACAGTCTGATCAGGATCCATGCTGTTCGATCACAAACCCTATTACAAGTAGAGAAACTGATAGCGAACAGCGTGGATCCTGATCAGACTGCGCGGATGCGCAGGCTGGTCCGGATCCATGCTGGTCGCAAACCCATTATGTTGGTTTTGTCGTGACGCGGCTCAAATGTAAATATCGACCGTTACATAGAAAATCTAACGTCATTTTTCTCTTTCTGTTTTATTTTTAACTTTTTGTACCTACGTCCGTTATATTTTCTCAAAAAATTATCAAAAGTATACAAAATAATGAAAAATAAATTCCTTTAATAATATCTTTTTCAAAAGCGGACATTGTTTTGGAATGAACGGTGCATTATTAAAAAAAATTCTCATAATATTGATAATATTTAAGTTTTTGAAATTATTTTTTATTTTAGTTTACATCTAATACATTATAGTCTTGAAACATTAGCAAAACCGTGTTTACTTTTTAAAATAAATATAAAAATTGAAAAAATTCATATCGTCAAAAATCTTGATCTAATTCTGCTGTAAGGGGAGATCACTATGTAGGAGATTGGACAAAAACACTAGTGACGTCGTGACAATGCAATACAGGGTGAGGTATTTTATACGGAACATTAATCAAAATGATAGTGATTTGTTTGTTTTTTAAACTAACTCTACGTTTTGCAATAAAAATATAGGTACATGTATGTTGTAAAGACACATTGTCTCTCTATTTAATGTTAACCCTTAACGTGCACAACTTTAATAAACAGCCTTCGAAGTTTTTGTAGTTGTTACAGTCACTGTTGAATTTCTATAACAATCCTACATTTCATAAACGATAAGTCGATAAAGATTAGCATACTGATCAAAAAATCTATTTGCATTTAGATTGCGTTGAAAAAATAAAATAGCTACAGACAGATGGCCGGACGAACGAACAGTGATAAACCGTGACACGAACAAAAAATATTCTTAAAACCCTTTGGGGCGTTAAAAAATTTATAAACATTGGTTTTTAAAAAACAAATTTAAATTTTATTTTAATTAATTTTCCCTGCAATTTTTGAAATACGTACTTTTTTGATAATACAGCAAGGATACGCGCTTAAATTTCCCTTTTTTTAAAACCAATTTCAAAAAAAATGCTCGTATGTTATATATCTTCCCCGGGATTTCATTTAAAATCTTATTTTTAAACTGATTTAAAAAAGGGGGAAAAAAACCCTTTTTAATGTAAAAATTAACAGATTTATGTTTTTGGAAAGCCGAACTTTTTATGTTTCTGCTGCCAAAATTGTGTTATATTTTAATTTCAAATGATTTTATAAAGTTTTTTTGTTTTCATTTCATTTTTAAAAAAAATTTTCGGGAAAAAAATTTTAATTTCCTTTTTTCAAAAAATGGCTTAATTTTTTCGCACACTTTGATCGACTTACTAGCTTTAAAGTTCGAAACCCGTGTGAGACAGAAAGATATCACACATTTGTTGCATGATTTTGTAGCTTCGGTTTTAGTATTTACTTACTAAGTTGAAACACATAAAAATGTTGTTTTAGTAGCATCCTTCAAATAAACTCCATTTTTTCAAATCTACTTTTAAACACATATTCATCAACAAAACAGCAATGTTGAGCGTATAAATAAGTTCGATTTTATTATATTGTCTTTCCAAACTATTGCATGGATTTCCTGTAACTATATTTAGCCGTGAATGAACTAATTATAATCCATTCAAATGTCATTGAAGCATAACAGAACCACTGTATGGCAAATAAACATACAAATCTCAATGAAACATTGCAGTAATATTGTACAGCATATAAACATTCGAATCTCATTGCAGCATAAAATAAATATTGTACGGCATATAAACATTCAAATCTCAATGAAGCATAGAAGAAATATTGTACAGCATATAAACATTCAAATCTCATTGCAGCATCAAATAAATATTGTACGGCATATAAACATTTAAATCTCAATGAAACATGAAAGAAATATTGTACAGCATATAAACATTCAAATCTCATTGCAGCATAAGATAAATATTGTACGGCATATAAACATTTAAATCTCAATGAAGCATAAAAGAAATATTGTACAGCATATAAACATTCAAATCTCATTGCAGCATAAAATAATACTATACGGCATATAAACATTTAAATCTCAATGAAGCATAAAAGAAATATTGTACAGCATATAGACATTCAATATCATTGGAGCATAAAAGAAATATTGTACGGCATATAAACATTTAAATCTCAATGAAGCATAAAAGAAATAGTTTATAGCATATGAACATTCAATTTTTATTGAAGCATAAAAGCGATATTGTACAGCATATAACATTCAAAATCATTGCGCATGCATAGAAGGAATATTGTTCAGCATTTAAACATATAAATCTCATAAAGCTGAGAAGAAATATTTTACAGCATATAAATATTCAAATCTCAATGAAGCATAGAAGAAACATTGTACAGCATGTCAACATTCAATATCATTGAAGCATGCATAGAAGAAATATTGAACGATATATAAACATTCAAATCTCATTAAAGCAGAGAAGAAATTTGTACAGCATATAAACATTCAATAACATTGAAGCATGCATAGAAGAAATATTGTACAGCATATAAACATTCAATATCATTGAAGCATGCATAGAAGAAATATTGTACGGCATATAAACATTCAAATCTCATTGAAGCATAGAAAAAATATTGTACAACATGTAAACATTCAAATCTCATTGAAGCGTACAAGAAATAGTGTACGGCATATATACATTCAAATATAACTGAAGCATAACAGAAACATTGTACAGCATATAAACATTCAAATCTCATTGAAGCAAAGAAGAAATATTGTACAGCATATAAACATTCAAATCTCATTGCATAATTTGTTTTAATTATTTATCGCCACGCGTTCCGTGCAGTATTTTGTTGACGTTATGCTGTATTAAATTAACAGAAACAACTTCTAATGTTACCAAATTAAAGCGGGAATGGTCATCTTTACAAATTTAGTTAAATCAAACTGTGGAATACTGATGTTATGTTAACGTTATGTGTTAAGATATTTACTATTGGAAATTTGAATCATTTTTAAACTGACAAATTACGAAATGGTGCATGTCCATAACTATTGTCTTCACTTTTTATATACATGTATAAGGCATTAACTAGATTATAACGCGTACACCTTTACAATGCTTTATAACTGTTGTTGGGCATGGGGAAAGGATACAAAACTCATAATTACATCTTAAAATTTAATTCAACCCGAAAAAGAATTACTAAATTAAGCGCCCGATACTTTCACAAACATTAGATCTTTATTAATATAACTTAAATGTCTCCAATTCAATTTTAAAGTGAAAAATCACACAGCAATTATGCTAATTACAATATAAATCTTAAAACAATCTGGCATCGTTATATATGAATGACATTGTTTTTTAGTTTCTTTCACCATGAATTACATAATCTCGCTTTATATCTCATAAGGATCTTGTTCTGAAAACTATACCTCATACTTATGACTTAAACGATTCTTTTCCTTTTTTCAGTATTAATGTTTGGAAACAATGCTTGACATTACACTCTTTCACAAATTGCTGTTAAATCATTTTCTAACTTTACAGTTTGATACATGATGAAAATTGACCACTATACACTTTGAGACACTTATAACCCGACACTTACATTTTTCAGTATAAATTGGATATTTGTGGACTTATTTTGTTTAAATTTGGACCATACAAAATTCAACATACAATACTTACCACTTAGAATTGTATTTACTATTCATTGACAGGAAAATAGAAAAAACAATATTTATAACAATTTTTGTCGAACTAGTATCTGCTGTTCCATTTCTTATTGCATTTGTTGTTGCAGGTCAGAATAGTAGAAGTTGTTCGATTTGTTTTGATGTTTGTTTCTGTCGACAAAGTAGCTGTTGTTCGATTTACTTTTAATTTTGTTGTTTTTGTCGCCAAATTTGCTGTCGCTCCATTTGTTTTGATGTTTGCTGTTTCTGTCAGCATTAAAGTTGAAGTACCACTTGATTTGATTGTTTCTATATTTGTTGTTTTTG